TACTGGTAAAACAGCAGCCGGCTTCTTCACCCCAAGCCACTGCTGAGGACGCTCCAACCCTCCCGCTGCTCCTTCCTCCTGCCCTGCTCGGGGTAATTGTCCTGCACCTTACTCATCCCAGAACTGTTGGGCTGGGAATTACTATTATATGGACATTTCTGGTGCTGCAGAAGCAAAATGCTACAAAGAGTACCAATCCCCATTCGTTAAAAAAAGCATTAATTTAAAAACAAAACCAGGCAGATGGCAGGAACCGATGCTGTCACCGTTTTGCAAACCGCTTCCCCCCCCGGCCCCGAAAGCAGAAGCCACCTGTGTGCCATCCCCTCTCCCGGTGTGGAAATCCCACATGCCATAACCTCCCTTGCTCCAATGCCACATACATTTTCCTGAGAAATGAGTGTAAAATGCCCAGCTCGTCTGCCTGGCTGCCCCAACAGCCCCAGGCCCCCACCGTGACCGGCTGCCCCAGGGAAGCAGCACCAACTCCTGCTCCAAGCCAGCAAATTACCCAAATAAAAGCTTTCTAAATTCAGGTGATGCAAAGATGGCTATTGCCTCAATTCCCGTGCCAAGCAACGAGACTGCCTCATCCCAGGGTTACAAAGGGCATCATACTCCTCGATACATCCCAGCATATCTTTTATCAGGTGTTGTATAACAAGGGAAGTATAAAAACACAATAAATTCAAGCTAAGATCCTAACAGATACAGATTTCTGGAATATTCCAAAGATCAAAATGGGGCAGATTTGAAGACCAAACGCGTGTGTGCAGGCAAGGGGGAGCAGGGGTAAATCACACAAGAATACTGCACCGTGGCGATGCCAACACTTTTGTATCTTACTTGGAGCCACATTCTTAAAACATTAAACGCTTTATTACCTGCCTCAGTGAAGTTTGGCATTGGCAAGGTCAGATCTCCTGGTTTTCCAGCAAAGCTGATGAATTATTTTGGCTGCTCCAGACGTAAGCCCTGATCCTATTAAATCCTTAGTTCCCCTGCCCTCAACACGTAATCTGCCCACGCGTGACCAGCGGCGTGGTCGGGGGTGCGTTACCGCACAGTGACACGTGCCCAGCTCTGCCGCGAGGGGCTTGTGTGCCGCCGCGGGGATCAAAACCGTGCCCAAGTTCACCCTAAAATTTTCAGGCAAGGCCCACAATTTTAGGAATTGACCTTGGAAAAACTTCAGCTTTCAGAGCTGTAGAAGGGGTTACTGACTGCCGGCGATTGTCTTGTCTTTTTGATGCCTCCAGGAGTAAGGAACCTTGTAACTGATACTTTGGCATTTATTGTCACTTAAAATAGCCTGGCAATCGGAGGGAGGAACTGCCACACGCACCACTCATCTTGCAGGAGGAAGGAGGTCGGCAATTTAGCCCAGGAAAGGTCACCCGGCTCCTCCGTAATTTGGGGGGGCAGGACTGCAAGACAGCGAAAGCTTCGCTCCGAGTCGTGAACAAGTGTCAGAAGGGCAGAGGACGGGTTCGCCGGGGCGGAAGGGAATTACGTGATTGCAGGAGCTTCCCCAGACGGCCAAGGGCGGGTGACAAGGTCACATCCCTGTCCTTCGCCTACAAAGCCCGGGAGCAGCCTTTGCCTTTGCCTTCCCCAGCACGGGCAGGACCGACGGTCAGCGCTGGGTCTCCCCGTACCCCCCCCAACCCACCTCCCTGGGTGCACCTCGTACCCCACCACCCGCGCACCCCGCTCGCTCCCCGAGGGGGCCGGAACCCGAGATTCCTCCTCGAGTCTTTTTGGTGAAAACTCAGGACTTCTCCCCAGCATCAGCCGGCAGGACCGAGCCAAGGTCGAGGTTACCATCAGACACATTTTTCACGCTGCTCGGTGCCAGCACCCCCCTCCCCGGCTCCGGCCAGAGCAAACACCCCCCCCACACCCCCCTTGCCACCGCCACAGGGGTAGGACCAGCCGGGGACGGGGCTTGGGGGGGGGACACCGGCCACCACCGGCCACCGGGAGCTGTCACCAGCCGCGGAGCACGGCTCCCATCTAGCGGGAATCCCCGCCACAGCCGCCCAGTGCCAGACTGGGGAGGGGGGGCACCGCGGCGGGATGGAGCCCCCACAGCCGGGGAAGGGGGGGTCCTGGGTCCTTCTCCTCCGAGCTCCCCAACAAACCCTCCTCCCACAAAGCTGCTGACCTTTTGCTGGCGGCTGGAGGGTAAATGGTTGATAAATAATAAATCCCTCACCCCAGGCTCTTGCCCAGATGCTTTTAATTACGGTAGTTGAGTTACTCTTAAGGTCACAGTGATTGGCATTTCAAGCCCAGCCTGGCAAACGCATCCAGTGAACAAACACTGTCAAAAACCATCATCTTAATTGTGTCTTCTCCTAACCGCACCAAATACTTACGCTCTCATCCTCTCCCCGATACTTCCCCCGTTACCCACCAGCTGTAACAAACCCACAGTGCAAAAAAAAAAAAAAAAAAACAAACAAAAAAACATCTCTAACTGCTTCTCCATCCAGAGCCACAACACTGGAAATGTCCCCACTGCCACGGCCAGCCAGCAACCTGCCCGAGCCCCAAAGGCTCTGCCCTGCGAGCTTCCAAAAAATAATTCCCTGATTTACACCATGTGAGGGCTCCCACGCAAAGTGTACGCTCCCTTATATATTTCCAGGTTTTACGAGTAGTTTAGCCACATACCTGATTCAGAAAAATAGCTCGTATGTGTCAGTGAAGTACACAACTGCTTCATGCAGGAGTTTGGCAAAGCGTGGAGCACACCTACACCCTCCCAGCTGACAGCAGGTTATGCTGCTGCTGCACGAATCCAAATTTCTTTGCACTTTCTACATCGCAAGCTTGTCTTACTGGGCATGCCAGGCTTGGGCCACGAGCAGAAGGGCAAGTTGCAACAAGCTTCTCACATGAAGTCATGAAAACTAAGGGTTAAGAAGCTGGACAGTCGCCCCCATTTCAGACTTGGAAGGGGAATGAAAAACCACGAGGGTCTCTTGCTCCCAAGCCCTCAGCTGCTCGGGAGGGTAAATCCCATCACTCACCCCCAGTCCTGGCAGAACGACTGGTCCAGCTGGGAGTGCTCTGCCCCAGGAACCGCCCCAGTGACTTTTTCCTAACACAAAATAAAAGAGAAAATTAATTCCAACTTTCTGCCTCCCTGCTCTGCGCAGGAACTCACTCGGGGCACATGTACAAGGCTGCTGCTCCAGTCTGTGTTCTAAATTTGTTACGGCTCAATATGCTTCAGATGAGTAAAGGAAGACATAGCCAAACTCAGCAAAGATGCAAGGATGAAACAAGTTACAGCAGATGATAGAGCAAAAAGCTCTGGAAGTACTGTTGGCAATTTTTTAGAGAAGTGACAATAAACAGACCACCGAACTGTGAACGAAGGGAGCGAGAAATCTCTCACGTGTTATTGCATTCAATTTCATAGCGCTTCTCCTTTTTAAAGTACTTCCATTTATAATTTTTGGCAAGCTAAGAGTATCCTCCACAGTTAAAAATGCAAAGCAGGATGCTCAAAATGAAAGTTTTTAACCTCTGTAAAAATCCATGAAAGGCAAAGACACAAAGCTACGGCGCTGGAAACGTGGAGCTGTCGGTCTCTTCCCTTGGGTTGGCAACAACCGTTTGGCCCAAGCAAGAAAACGGGGCACAAGGAGGAAAACTCACATCCCCGCTGCCAGAGATCTCCCGAGGAGGGCGGCTCGCCTTGGTCCACGGCCTTGCTGCCGCTTGCTCTCGTGACACAGCTCCTCTCCAGGGCCCTTTCAGACCCAATCCCATTTTAATGCGTTTTTGACGCCTGTTTACATTAAAATTTCTCTTACCCTTGACCCAGCACGGTGGTTCCGACACCTGGATACTGGAGGTGGGCTCCTCCGTTCTACTCCCCTGGAAGGGGCTGCTGGGCGTGGGGTGAGGGCAGCGATTCCCACTCCCCGGGGAAGAACCCCAGAGCCTGCAGCTACGGCAGCGCCGAGGCAGTTACTCTGCCATAAAAATCTTGCGCTCCTCTAGAATTACAGAGCAGAATTAGGAATAAAGTTTGACCTTCCAAGGATAACTGAGTAATTCTGCTGTAATTACACTGCTACCAGGGGGTGAATCAAGCCACACAAAACCAAACCACTGGCATTTTTAAATCCTCCTTCTCGATGCCACACAATACAGACTTGTAAGAGGCTTTTTGCAGCACACAGAGCAGCATTGTCACTGAATTGTGATGTGGAGAACGTGTCTGGGGGGGTAAGTACGAAACCAAAAGGAAATCTCCTTTTCCTTGTAGGGAAGAATGGGACAAGGAAGGAGAGATTTGTTTTGACATGAGTTACACCTGTTTGTGGGGGTAGTTTGTTTTTTTTAAAAGAAAAAAAAAAAACACAAACATACAGAAAGAAAAACCAAACAAGAAAAAAAAAAAACTAAACAAAACAAATGAGAAAAAAAAAACAAACAAACAAAAAAAACACAAACAGTAATTGTTTTTCACATAGCCCAAAGCCAAACTCTTTAATAAAAAATAAGCTAGGCACTGGAGTTGGCAGGCATGGCAAGAATGACATTCTAATCGGCTTCAGATCCTGGTAAAATGGATTATTATTCTCTTATGCTGTTCCATGCCAGAGTTCCCGTGACTGTTTCCGCAGCAGCACACTACCTTCTCTTCAGCAACCAGCTGTAATGTCACATCTTTCACACTTCTGAGCTGACCAATTTCATTAAGAGTCACTAAAAAATTCCAAAGGTCCAAATTATCTGGTATTGTTACGCTTTATCTAAGTAAATGATAGAATAGGAAGAGCATATTATTACATTTACATAAATAGCAACTCTCCTCCATTAGCTATAAAGAGATGCCACCACAGACAGCTGTTAGAACACATCAGGCAAGTGGTATCTGCCATTTCAACAGCAGGACTGCCAGACCTGTACCACCAAGTGCAAGAAGCCAAGCAACATCTTTACTACTGCAAATAGCACACCTGAAGAGGCAGAACTTCCCATTTTTACAGAAAATGTTTATTTTTCCAACTATGTTTTCCAACTCACAATCTGAGAGAGCAGTCCTGTACCTCAAAAAAATTTATCATCTCCAATAATACAACTGGGGAGATGGAAGAACAAGAACGCGTGCCACACAGGCGATCACAGAAGGCACTCGAGCCGGATAACCGAGGCGCATTCCCCCTAAGAAAATGTCTCAGAAGCACCAGGCTGGAGGCAGAATCGGCGGCTCCACCACAGCCAGGGCACGGCGGGTGGCAGAGCGGCACAGGCAGCGGCACGGCTGTCAGGAGGGAGAGGGGTTTTCCTTCCGCGCTTCTGCCAACCCTGGCGTCTGCTCCTCCTGATCTTGCTTCTTTTCCCGCACCTCTTCCAACACAGGCTGAAGCTGGGGGTGTGGCGCAGAATCCCTGGTTTCAGCATCTTGATGATCCTGTTGTGCTACCTACAGTTAAAGACAGGCAACTGCTAAAAAAGAGTGGTAAAACGTTTGCCGAAGCGTGACTGAAGACGGCAACAGAAAGCAACAGCCCCAGTTTGTACATCTGAAAAAAGCTGGCAGAAAACTTCTAACTCATGCTTAGATTTTTAAGGTACAATACAGTGTTAAGGTATCACCAGGGCAAGAAATTTAAAATGACACTGCTGAAATCAAGCTGAAAGATGAAAGTCAGTGATTTCATCTTTTCACATGCTCGTGGGACAGTGCACTTCAAGCAGAACCAGTTGCTGTTTCTCTTCAGCCTCTTTTATTGGGGAAAGCACTACGGCCCAGATATCACTGGATAATGAGAATGGAGAGTGTATTATTACAAAAGAGAATAATAAATGAATCCAGGTAACGGAGTTTAATACTGCAGATTTTAGAAACAGCCCTTCTCCCTTCTTTTTGGGGGTGTTCAATTACAAGGACAGCCTTCTCAGAAGAAATGGCATCAGTTAGTCGTGAACAAGGTAAAAGATTTCTAACCATCACAGAGCAGCCGTGTTCTACTCTACCTGACGTGCTGTTGTAGAAGCATCTTCAGTTTGGTTTTTTATCTCACTCTGTGTTAAGAGTTACATGACAACTGCCTGAACTAACTAGACAAAATGTGCCCAGGAGCCACTTCCTCTCTTGTATATTAAAGAAAACAGAAAGCAGTAACTTTCAACAGTTCTTTTGGACAGTTATTTTCTTGCCAAAAACACCAGACTATAAACCTCTAATTCAATAAAACATGGAAGGGAAAAAAAAAACAACCCAAACCAAACCACAACATCCAAACTGCAAGATTTATGCAAAACACTCCAGTTTAGGATCAGGATTGAAGAACAAGAGTGAAAGTGCATTAGACTACCGAAAAAAAAAAAAAAGAGGGGGGGTGGAGGGATGGAAAAATGTGTTAGTTGTCTTCAAACCAGAAGAGGTTCTCATTTACCCCCTGCTACCTTATAGAGAGAACATGTATATGGTAATAGGTGTACGTATTTCCAAATGGTTTATACAAACACACCAACGGATGATTTGAAAGCACTGAAGACTTACATATTTCACCTCCAGAACAAGTACTTCTCTGTCCCGTCCCACAAGAAGTACCTTCTTAGCCTTGCCCAGTCAAGTTCACGACTAAGGGAAAAAGTTTACTCTGCATAGCAAAGACATTTTATTGCAAACATCAGGCGTGGGACTGTTTCGCTGAGAATTTAGTTTGGACTAAGTCAACATTAAGGGCCTGAAAGTGAAGTTTTCTGAATCCACTGTGAATATTTAATACTTACTTTCTCTGTTGCTCTTCTCTGCAAAATTATCCCACTGGCTAAAAGAGCTTTTCCTGTTTCTTCAAACAATTTTTCTTCTTCAACTTTTCCTTCTTCCTTCAGTTCATTGTATTTTTCAACAAACCTAGATTTCAAGATTGTACTTTTACTCTCACAAATAATGTTTTGCTCTACTGACTTATGAGGGGAAAGGGACAAGTTTCATAAATATTTCTAGTTTAATGATAAATAAACCTTACCTCTGGCAAGTAGATTTGTAGTTCGATTTTGACAGATCAAAAGGTCTTGGACCACTGCCATAAATTCTGTAAAATCTCCTATTTAAAAAACAAAACAAAACAAAAGAGTTTAATTTTTCAAGCCATCAAATAGGGATATGTCTTGGAATAAATAAACAACATCAGAGTCAGTTAGTTTAGGCTACAACAAAAAGCATTCACATCACTATTTCTCCTTTTCCATTGGTTATTATGCTATACAGAGAAGTTTGATCCAGCGGTTTTAATCATTTTAACAAAGTCTTATCAATCTCCACCACCACCGGTGAGCCAGAGGAGCACGGTCACCTCTTCGCAGAGGGTTTAGGTTGGCCCAGCCTGGCCACCCAACGCAGTTTTGTGAAGTTTTGTGTGGTGTGAGCACCTGCCTTTGCTATCGCGAACGAGCCTCCCCACCGGCGAGCGCAAATACACGGGGGATAACATGGTGGGAACGCTCAAGGGTATGAAAAAAAGGAGAAAAAGCTGCTGGAAGGGCCGGTGAGGGGCGGGGGGCCGCGGAGGGGGTGCGGGGGGCAGGCAGCCCTCGGCGGCAACTCACGCTCGCACTTGGTCCTCCTCGTAGAAGATGGGAGGGACGACGTCCTTCACCTTGCCGTAGCGCGGCCGCGGCACCCGGTAGACGGGCTCCCTCAGCGGGGGGAAGGCGGCGTAGACGTCGAACCACAGCGGCTTCTTGATCACCCCGATGCGGAGCAGGTTGCGGGTCCTACCGGGAGGGAGAGAGAGAAAGAGCGGCTCGGGGTGGCTCAGCGGACACCCGCCCCACCCTCGAGCCTCCCTCCTTCCCTCCCGGCCCCCCGCACCGGCTGAACACGCTCCCTATCTTCTGCATGCGGCTGCCCGCCATGGCGGCGCGGGCGGCCTAGGCCTCCCTTAGCAACGCTGCCCCCGCTAGCAACAGGCCTGCCCTCCCACCCGGAAGCGGAACCCTCGCGGAGCTGCCGCTGCCAGGCCGCGCAGCCGACAGCCGAAGCACGGCGGTGAGAGGCGGCGCCCAGTCAGCACCAGCCGATGACCGAGCGAGGGCTCAGCCGGATTGTGGCCCCCCGCCTCTCAATTTAAAGGGCCAGCGCCGCCGTCCCCCCTGTCCTCAGGCTCGGCAGCGCATCCCTCCTGCCTCCCTCCTGGCCCGGCCGCGGCTCCCGCGGAGGCTGAGGGACACGGGAGCCCTTTCCTTGGGGCGGCTGTCCCCTGAGGGGGATGGCGGGGAGGAGCGGGAGCCCCGGGGAAGCCGCGTCCCCTCAGGGACCTGCCGCCATGTCGTGTCCACCTGAGGGAGATGATGGCGGCGGCAGCGCGGGGACCCCCCCACACACACCCACCCCGGGGTTTGTCCCTTTCGGCGGGATCCACGTCCCCAGACAGCGCCTGGCAGCCCGGCGCACTGCCCCAATGGGTATTAATTACCTCCATTTATCAAACCCAGCAGCCTTTCCCCAGCCAGCTTTTCCAGCCTTTCTAGGGAGAGAAGTGCGTGGCAGCGAGCGGCTGGTCACTAGGTGCAGCCCTTCGCTTGGGAATGAGCTGATGGGAATAAAAATACCTCTCTCCTTCCATCTTCCAGCCTCGGGAAGGAAGGGGGCAGTAAATTTCCACCGCAGCCTGGCAGCCAGCAGGTACCCGATGCCAGTCTATAAAACACCTCGAGCATTCATCGTCATCTGACCGCGGTTTTCAGTCCTGGGCTTTTCTCAGCTGCTGGTTTTCTTAAAACGCGGGTTTGAAAGAAAAAACCCTCGCCCCTGTAGAGGGAAAAAAATTCAAAAGGGAGTTGCTGGGACTGTTCCAGGGCTGCATCTGAGCTGCTCAAAGGACTGGGCAGGCCCGGGTCTTTTCAGCTGTTTGAAAAGCCCTGGCTCCCCCGCGGGCTCGCCACAGCTTGCTTGGCCTCGGCGGGAAGTCAACAGCCAGGGTTTCTCCAGCATTTCGATGCTTTTGACATTTAAGGCAAGAACACCTTGACTTTTTCCAGCATCTTCTTTCACAGGGAAGGTCTCCAAGCCACACGTGAGGCTGGGGAGCTCTAATCCTGCCAGCAACCGAAAGCTGCTGCCGGAGGGCAAGTGGACTCAGGCCCCATCCCCGCAAGCGAGGGGGATGCTCCACATGTCCCCCTCCCCGGCCCTGCCGCTGCCCCCCGGGGCTTGCCCATGAAATGCCATGTCCCACCACCGGGAAATAACCCTCCTCCTGCCCACGGCGAGGGGAGGTAGAGGGGTGGAGCGGTCCCCTGGTTCACAGCCCCTCCGGCTGCCCCTCGGGGGAGCGTTTGTCAAGGACAGCACAGTCTGGACAGGCTAAAAGTCCTACTCTTCCCCAAAATGAAGGGCTTGAGATCGAGGTTTTGGGTGCTGGCTGGGGACATGGCAGGGGCAGCTCCTCAAAGTGGGGCTTGACAGGAACCTGCCCTTCCCTCACACCTGGCACAGACCCCCCACACACCTCATTTTTGGGTCCATGTGCTGCTTTTTGAGCCTCTGAGGAGCTTCTCAACAAAAGTTTTCCTCCTCCAGCCTGTTGCAGAGCACATGAAAGGAAAAAGGAAGCCAAGCCCAGCACCAAACAGGCAATTCCCTACGGGAGCGATTCTGACAACGCCATCCAGCTCCGCACTCTCCAGCTTTGTAGACCCAGCGATCCAGCCAGCTCAGTGTGGAAGTGTGCAGGGCTGGAGATGAATAACACGTTACTTCAAAAATAATTCATTATAACAACATATTTCCATTCCGCCAGGAGATAACGTGAAGGAGCCAGACTGCCTGCTTGACAGACGTGGAGGAGTTACTGTGCGATAGCTAATGAAACAGCTTAAAGAAATCTCACACGCCCCGTCCCTGAGAGGCTTGTTATTTTCAGAATGAAGCGGGTAAGCCACAGCATTTTTCCTTTTCCGCTCTTTCCTGAAAGGCAGGTCCCCACACTCGTAGCTGGCCACGGGCGTGCTGGGAGCATACACAGGGACCCATGGGCACAGCCGCCCTCGCCAGCGTGGGTCAGCGGTTCCTGCTCCCCGGCACGCTGGGTGCCAGGATGGTTTCCCCGGTGCAGAGCCCACCCTTGCAGCCTCTGACCCCAGGGGAGCCCCTCTGCGTTGGGCCCCGGCTGGAACCCCGGCGTGGGGACGGCAGAGGGGAGCAGTGGGCGCTCCACACACCCACCGTGCTTCGGGGTGATGTTGCTTTGCTGGCTGAGGTGGGAGGAACGGGGCCGTGCCAGGGCTTTCCCCGAATCCGGGGCTCCTGAACCAAACATCCTGCCGCGTGGAAGCAGGAATTTCTCCTGGATGGAGACAGGAGCTCGCCAGCGATGGGTCTCCTGCGGCGCTCGCTTTCTCGAGAAAACTGTCGGATGCAAATTCAGCATGGTCAGGAGCAGGGAGGCAACGAGCCGGGGAGGCTTCTGGGCACCTGCAACCATGAGGGACACAGCTGCAGGGGGCATGAAGGGAAGAAGCAGTTCCTTCCCCACCCCTCTTTCTTTTTTTGTCCCCCTGTAAAGAAATGGGAGCAAAAAAGCAAAATACATCCAAGCGTTAAGAGTACAACAGGACTTTATTATATGAATTACTATTAAACATCTTTAAGAAAAAAAAATCACTTATGGAAATAAATTCTAAAATAGCAACACTCACAAATGTCACAGATTGGTTTTCTTTTCTTTTTAAACCATTTTGTATACAAGTGATACAAATGTCACTGAGAATTGTACGTTTTTATGTAAGAAATGCATTTTGGCTTCCAAGCCGGTTTTAGTGGCCTTTCTACTCTTTAGACCCGATTTTATTCTTTCTTTTTTTTTTTGTAGGACATAAAAACAATCCCTCTTCATCCTCCATTAAAATGATGCTTTGTGCCTCCAAGATATTTTGAAATGGCTACAGAGTGACATCATTCAGAGAGGCTTCGCTTCGCCTCGGGTATTTAAGGGCAAGTTGTTAGACCGTGTTAGCGAAGACATCCCCAGGCCCCTGCGGAGCGGCGGCTGCCCGCCCGCTGCCAACCCTGCGCGGTGCCCGTTCGGGGCACAGCCCCTCTCCCCACAGCCCCCACACTCCAGCCCGCAGCCCCCCCCCGGCAGCCCCCTTCTCCTCTCCCCGTTTCCTCAGGGCACCGCAGCGGTGCTCCCGGGAAGCGTCGCAGGGAGCGGAGGATGCCGGATGCTTTGGGGATGCGCTCGGCCAGACCGGCCCGAAGAGGAAACAGAGGCAGCCCGTTAGCCCCGGGGCTCCTCCAGCAAACTACGGCCGGGCTACAAAGACGGCTCGGAGGCAACGTGTCAACTCCTGCACAGGCTGAGCGCGCAGGGGAGCGGAGGAACGGCGGCATTTACCACCGCGCCGCTTGCTGCTGCGAAAGCCAGCGCGGTTCCAGCAGGACTGACCTGGGACGTGATGCGAAACGTGGCTTGCCCGGCCGCCACAGAGAGCTCACCGCCATCCCCCCCAGCCACGGCACGACGAGGCAGCAAGGAGGAGGAACGAGGCAAACCCTCCGAGGGCTCGGCAGCGGGAATTCGTGCTGCAAGAGCCCGGGCACAAGCGCTTCGCTGCCTTCTCCTCCCCGCGCACCTGAGCAGCCCTCCAGCAACAACCCCCTCGTCTGGGAGAAGCGGAATTTCCTTCCCCCAAGAGCTCCTGCCCGCCTGCCTGCCGGTGCTTCCTGCGTTCATGGAAACTTCGCTGAAAGTTAAGCCCTCGGTAGCTAAGAGGCGCTGGAACATTGACAAGCTGATCCAGTTCCAAGCTTGATTTTCTTCCAAATATGCAGAGAGCTGCTTTGGATGGGGAGGGAGGAACGGCAGCCTCCTATGGACCCCAGAGCCAGCGGGAGGGTAGGAAAGGAGCCCCTCCTCGCTCTCCACCGCTCTCAAGCCGGGAATAAAAGTCACAACCAGGGACTAAAGGACCTTCTGTTCCCAGTGGCAAAGCCCCAGCTTCACACTTAGTCCCTCACACCCGCAGCCACCGAGCTGCCACCCGAGCCAGGCGGGGACACGCACCCCTCCAGACACCCCTCTTACCCCCCCACGCTGCGGGGCACCAACCTCCGCCTGAGAGCTGGGCACAGGGCAGGGAGCAGGGTGGGCTCGGAGCCTGCACGCGTCAAGGCAAGGCCAGCGTGGCTTGGGATGCCTCTAACCCTCGGCCGGGCTGCCACAACTCCGGGGGATGCTCCTCGACCCTTCCTTCCAAAGGAGCAGACACCGAAGCCGGGATCAGCTCGGTGGGGTGGCTCTTCTGCTGCTTTGATTTTAGGAAAGCTCGCTGGCGTCGCAGGGCGCTTCCAGCCCAGTGCCTCCTGCCCTCGCCCCCAGCACACCGAGCTTTGGCCGAACCCCGGTGCTGCCGGGAGCGCTTTGTGGGTGCTCTCAAGACACTCCCCAGACCCTGCAGCCTCAAAACAACCCCGGCTCTGGCCAGGGACCAGGAAGAAGGTGAAACACACGGGTCCCCGCTGATTCCCCAATCGCAGCTGCGAGGGCGACGGCACCGGCGCTCAACAGGTACAACGGCTGAGCCACTCGCAGGGAAAGCAAATCCTCGGCGTCCACTTCAAAGGCACGCGGGCTCCGGGCGGATTTGAAAAGGAGCCTGACGGGAGCCACCGCCTGCAATGTGGGCTTTTGTTACCAAACCCCGCGGAGAGGCAGGGAAAACAGTTGCGTGTGTGTTTGATGGCTGGGGCTTCTGCGTCTGCCGCCTTCGCAGCTCCAATCTTGCAACATTTGTGCTGGTTCACAGGAGCCAGAAAGTGAAACAGGCACGTCTATAGCCACCTCCTGCATTTAGCAGTAAACAGATTATGCTGATAAAGGAGAAGAAAATGTGCTGGCGGGAGCGATTTCTGACTTTACGCTCGTCACTCGTTACTGACACAGGGAAGGAATTTGTTTACGTAATTATTTTTAGCTCGACAGCATCTCCGAAAGCTGCGATGATCCAAGCGCTGCCTGCCAGCCCCCCAGCCCCCCCGCCGCGCTCCCCGGCAAAACGGGGACCCCCCGCAGCAGCACGGGGAGGGCTGCTCTGCCCCAGCCACCAGCCAGCCCCGGCCCCGCACCGAACCCGGCAGCGCTCACAAGCCCTTGTGCAAACCCTCCGTGCCAAAACCGCCGGCCTCAGCTGCAGCCTCCCCCCCCCCCCCCCCCCCGCCTCGAGGCTTGGGCTTCGCATCTTACCGGCGGCGGGGGCATCCCCGGGACCATCCCCGGGACCACCGGCCGGCGGGCACGACGTGTCCTGCTTCGGCAGGCGGGGATAAACGGATGCGAAATCCAGCCCTTGGTGCTGCCCCGCCGTCCTGCCCCGCGGCGGCACAAGGCATCCGTGCTTCAAGGCAGTTTTAGCAATGCCGAAGGCAAAGGTTTAATTCAAAGTGAAACGCCTATGAAAAGAAGGCCTTTCCTTTTATAAACAATTTATATTATTTGACTATTACCTGATCGGAATCTCTGCTCATTACTCCTAGCAATAGTAGACAACAGCTGTTAGGTTCTCTCTCTCATGTGTTTTTGTTTGTTTGTTTGTTTGTTTGTTTTTTTTTTCCTGTGTGCGCAGAGTAAAGTTACATCAGATCGCTACAGAGATACGTTCCGGAGCGCCCTGGCCAAGCAGATCCCACACGTGAATGCATCCTCGTTAGTACAACTGATTTTCATTCCTCCTGCGACGCCGCTCGGACCGAGAGGGCAGGCGGGACGCTGCTCCTCCCAAGTCTGAGCTCCACTGGCTCCTCCACAGCAGCTCACATCAGCTGCTCTTTTTTTTTTTTTTTTTCCTTTTTTTTTTTTTTTCTTTTTTTTTTTCTTTTTGGCTGATTTGCTAGATAGAAGTTGTTTTCAAACCGCTGGTAAGAAAACATTGTGCCTCACTTCAATACTTGTACTTCAGAGGAGTACAACAGCAGAGGGGAAACAGCCAAAAAAACTGCGTTATTTGTTGGGTGTTTTTTTTTTTCCTTTTTCAGCCATCTTCTCGTGAAGCCTTGTGCACGTTCTGTGCCAGCAATAAACCCCAGCGCTGGGACCTGGAGGAGAAGGGGAGGGAAGGAGAATGGCGTGTGCTCAGCCTCGCTCATGCCGTGCCCGGCACCGGGCCGGTGCAGCACCCGGGGCTGTTACCAGCTCCAGCACCCGCAGCCGCTGGGACCCGACCCTGAGCACCCGGCCCCCTCCTCCAGCCAGGATGGACGGACGGACAGACGGGACCGTTCACACGCTCATCGGGAAGTGTTCGTCCCCACCTGCCTCTCACCGTTTACTGCCCTTCCTTTGGTGTCTCCTCCTCCTCCCGGAGCTGCTGCCTCCGCGCTTGGAAGTCTTCATCTGGAAGGAAGAGGCAGGCGGGGGCTGGCGGGGGCCGCAGTCGCTTCCACGCTGGGGGGCTGGCCCCCACGCCACGCTCCCAGCCCCAGCCCCAGCGCGGTGCCCCCAGACAGGGATTTCCTTGCCCAGAGAGACGACTCCCAAGGGACTGGGACTCTGCCAGGACACGCCTGACAACACTGGAAGGAGGTTTTGGCCCACGGGGAGGGGGGGGTGCATTTCTACCACCTGAGCCAGCCCCGAGGTGGCAACAAAACCCACCGCCCAGACCCACCTCTGGGCAAATCTGGCTGACGACCAGGACTGTGCCCCAACCCCAGGCTATGCATCCCGCAGGGCTGCAAGCCCAGGAGGCTGCCCCAAAAGAGGGGATCCCGTCCCCGGCCACCCCAGCAAGGCCACGCCGTGGGGGACCAGGGGCGAGCCCAATGCGTGGGTGGCCGGGACCTGACGGGAACCATCTCCAGCGTGGTGATGGTGTGGGGCAGGACGGGGCCGGGCACCGTGGGACCCCAGGTAGCCCTGCTGAGCACGGCACACACGGCACACACGGCGCGGCGCGGCATTTCTTACCGCACGAATGTCCTTCGACATCGTCGAGAAGATTCGCCGTGGAAGCCGCCGTCCCCAGCCTGCGCCCTCCGCTAAGGAAAACCAGTGTCGTGGGGTCGAGACGTGGCCACAGTCGCCCTTCCCAGCCCCCCGCCCACCCGTGAGACTCCAGCCAGACCACGGCTTTGGGGGGTCCCTGCGAGCACCCCAGCGAGGCCACTCCGACAGCCCCACAGCCCCACATCCCCCCCCCGCAGCTCCCCAGCCCCTTTTAGGATACACTTGGTGTTTCAACAAGTGTTTTCTTTTCGATTTCCTCATCTTCGTCTTCTCGGAGAAGGCTCTGGCAAGTTCAAACAGCTTCTTGCGCGTGGCTGGAAGGAAGCAGCTGGGTGAGGGTCGCACCCCAAAACCCTTCCCAAAGCTGCCACGGGCGACACGGCCACGGCCAGCGCTGCGAGAGCCACCCGCGCCCCGACACCCCCACGGCAACACCCCGGGTTGTTTCCACACCGGGGTCACGCAAAGCTGCCAGGCTCGGCGAGCCGGGTCCTGCGACCCACAGGGACATGCTGGTGCGCGGCGGGAGGTGCTGACGTTTTTACCCTTTCACTGGGATTTTCGTGACCTTCCCTACCCACGACTGACCCACATCTCCCCAGTGTCCCAGCTGGCTGCAGCCCAGTTCAAGCTGCCCAAAGATCTCGGTCTATTTTGTGACGGGAGAAGCGGGCCGTGACTTGCTAAGAGGAAAGGCTTGGAAAAGAGTTGCGGCGAACCCTTGGCTTGTTTTTATCGAGGATTCACACAAACCCTGCCCAGAAATTCCTCCGTTCCCCAACACCATCCGCATCCTCGACTCACGCCACGACCCACACGTGCGCCAGGGACAGACGGACAGCGCAGAGTGCTGTACAACGCCAGCGAAACTCAACCCCAGAGCACTGGCTGCCAGGGGCTGGGCACGACGTGCCGAACACACCAAAACAAGATCCTTCTCCATGCGCTCTCCTTAGACGCTTAATCAATCCCGATATTTTTCCTATCCTGGTCCTACAACACAGACATGGTGTATTTCTGTCCGGGACCTTCACCACTGGAGCATCCTCAGGTGAAGGTTCCCCCCTGGAACCCAGGATAGGTGGTGATGGCAATGGGGAGAGCTGAGCCCCTGCAGGTGACAGCTCCTGCTCCCCTTCTGATTCCCTCTCCCAAAGGAGCAGGCTGGTGAGCTCACCTCCTGGATCAGAAGAGGAAGGTTCCTCACACACCTCCAGCAACGTGGCTGAACTCTCAGTCCAGGTGGATAGATGACTTCCCTCCAATCCATCCGTACCCGAGTTAAGAAACCCTAATCCTCTCAAATTTATCCACCGATTTTATGTGGCCTTTGATAGCACTAGCGACCACCTCGTCACGCGAGTCCGAAGGACTCGTCTGTGCGCCCACAGGTACGAACGACAGCCGCCCTCTTCGACACCCTGCGCGCCGCTGTGCCAGTGCTCGGTGTGACTCCCAGGGTCACGGGGACGCGTGTGCCCGGCTGGGAAAGAGGTGACAAGAAACACCCCCAATACACACACACACACACACACACACGTGTGCTGGCAGGCGTGCACCACGCGTCCACACGCGTGCGCTGAGCGGACACGCTGCCGGCTCGCTCCCCCCGCTCCCCAGGCTGCCAGCGCGGAGCCGGCAAACCGACTCACATTTTCCCATGTGTTTCAATTTGTCTCTGAATAAGGCATCGTCGGACACGGCGCCGCCGGCCTCGCTGGGTACAGAGGGGGCTACGTCACCTGGAAGACAAACATCTGGTCACCGGGAGCGCATGGGCGGCGAGGGGAGGGGAGGCTCGAGACAAATCATTTCCGTGACCCAATTCCAGCGTGGACGAAGCGCAGCCCTGCTGCGAGCGGAGCTGAGCGAGGACGAGGGCGCCGGCACGCCGGGGCTGGCTCCGGCCGAGGACCCTCTTGCGGATATAACCCCCCCACACCTGAGACCGTGGGGGCAGAGACATCGGTTTGCCGCAAACCCTCAGGCCCGTGGGGCTGCTCCCCTCCACCAGACGTGGGGCGAGCAGAGCAGGAGGCCTCCCTCCGTGCTGCCCCAGCGGCAGCAGCCCCAAATTCCCACTGACTGCACTCGGGGCATTAGATGGTGCCCACTGCTCAGTTCCTGGGATGGCAGGGCCAGAAGTTCAGGCAGCCCAGCGACTTGGTCAGGGGGGACCAGAGACCCCTGGAGCCACGTCCCAGTGCCCCTTCCCCAAGTCTGGGTGCCCTCAAAATGCCGTGAGGCCGGCTGGAGCTCCGCCACGCCGCCCACCGCTGTGTGTCACCCACCCGCTGCGTGTCACCCACCCCTGCGTGGGGCCATCGATGGGCACCGGCTCTAATTCTGCCCCCGGGGCAGCTGCTCTGCTCGCTGAGGTTAATCAGGATTATCCAGGAACAGTCATTATGCCTCCCAGGCACAATCCTCTAGCTTCGGCCAAGACAAGGGAGGGCTTTGTCTCCCCTGGGAACCGGATCGAAGCTCCCACCCGCGGGGTTGGACTGAAGGAGGACGCAGCAGCACCTCCACGTGAGGAGGGCAGCAGCACCCATCCCCATCACCCACCACCCACCAGCTCCCTGGGGGGCAGCGGGGAGGGATCGGCTGGTTTCTGACCCCCCCGCAGCCACTTCGGAGGCGGCTGGGAACCCTGGAGCTGGGGGGCACCCCGCTGCTGAGGCGATGCTCATGGGCATCTCGAACGTTACCTGATATTACGGAGGAGAAACCAAACTCGTTGCTGACAGCAGCACTGGTCGACCTGGATTTTTTTGACTCGTATTTCAATCGATCTGAAAAACAAAAAGCCCAGCACCCGGCTCGATCAGACCCTCCAGGCAGCGCACGCACTGCGCGGCTCCTGCTCCCCTCTCCCCTCCCGGCCCCCATGGCTTTGGGGGGACGGGCTGATGGCAAGGGAGGGACCTGGGGCCTCCCGACGTCCCGCAGCAGCTCAGCCGCCGCAGGAACGGCCTCACCCCCAGCGAGGGAGTTTCTGTGCAGCCGGGCCAAGGTGTGGGACAAGATGTGCTGCGCTCCAGGTAGAAATGATCTACCAAAAAGCTGTGAAAGCTCTCCGGAGAGGCGCTCCTCCCCGAGGACACACCAGGGATAAGAAACATCTCCCCCGCTACAGGTGGGGAATGAGGACGCGGCCAGGGCCGTGCACGGAAGGAAGGCAGCCCCTCGCCCGGCGCCGAAAGCCCTTCGCTTCAGCGCGGCGAGCGCGAGCGCTTCGGTGGGAGCCCGCAGCAGCGGGCGGGAGCGTTGCCCTCGCCGCCGCAGAGGAGCCGCCGAGCGCGCCGGTGGGTTTCCAACCGCGGCGGCTGGGGGTGAGCCCTGCAGTGAGGGTGCTGCCAGGACCCTGCCCAAACCACCCGCGAGACCTCGGAGGGCGACCGGAGGGATTCGGAGCCGGCTGGCGGCGCGAGGGAGGGGAAGGGCAGCTCTTTGCTCAGCGAAAAACACACTTTGCTCAGCAGCGAAACCACCGACACCCTCGAGCCCTCCCCGCAACGCCGGGCGAGCAACCGGCTCACCGGGAAGGAGTGCGGTGGCAGGGATGGAGCCATCACAGCAAAACCCTTCTCCGGTTCAGGCCCTGCCAGCATTTCTGAGGCTCCTCGCTCTGGATTTTCCTGGGCTTTGCCGGAGATGCCACAGGAAGGTGGGCAGGGGGAGGAAAGCCTTGCGGGAAGCGGCTGAGCACCAGGAGCCTGGGGAGCAGCTCGGGGCTCGGTCTCGGCCTGGCCACCAGCCCGGCCGCATCCTGCGCTGGCTCTGCTGTGGCAGGAAGCCACGATGCCACAGGCAGGGCAGGCGCTGCCGCCGGTCAGCATCACGGCGGGGGGAGGCACGCACCCTGAAAAGCAAAGGCAGATTTTTCCGAAGGCGCTTCTCACCTCTCTCCAGGGCGAGGAGGAAATCCCGGTTCCTCTGGAGCTCCTTCATGAACTCTTCGTTCTGCAGGAAGAGCGCGATCCGCTCGTCCTCCAGGTACTGCTTCCACCGCCGCTCCTGCTCCAGGGAGCCCTGGCCCCGCGGGGCGAGCCCCCTTGGCACGGGCTGCCGGCACCCGTGGGAGCCCTGGCCAGGAGGCAAACATGACAGAGGTGGGTCGCTGGGCTCGGAGGCTCCCGGCAGCAGCTCCTCGGGCTGAGCTCGGCCTTTTGCTCCTCCGTCACGCCACTGCACCCCCAGCCCTCAGAGCCACCGTCTGCTGCTCCCCAGAAGGGTCCTTCCCTCCGACACCCAGCACCCAACAGCCCAGGGCACCATCCCGCCTCAGGAAAAAGGGGACAAAGGGGGACAGGGCACCCACGCGGGAGCGGGGACCTCTCGGTCTGGGGTCGTGGCACGGGGAGGAACCGGTGCCTCTGGAGGGAGCTCCTTTGCAGAGCGCGGACTAGCAAAGATTTTTAATTTTAAACCAGTGGGGCTGAGCCAAGGCAGAAGCTGGTGTGGAGAGAAGGGAGAAGGGTCTCAGCCAGCGTCGCTGCTTCTGTTTCCCCCGATCTAAGAAGCAGAGACTGCAAGTTCTTGCTGACAAACGTCCCTGCATGAGGCACCTCGCGCTCTGCCCCGGCTCCCCGTGCAGTCGCAACTGGGGAGCAGCAGAGCCGCTGCTCTATAGCCACAACTTCATCCTCGCCTACAATATTTGTCTGATTTGTAGCTGCTCTCAGAGCGCCAGAAAACGCAAAACTACACCATTACCGGGGAAAGAAAAGGGCAGCTGCTCCTCTCCTACCCCTGAGCCCAAGTGAGCTGGCACGTTCCTATTCCCAGAAAGGTAATGCAGCCCGCGAAGCACAACTTCCAGGGCAATCATTTATGAAAACATGGCAGGCTGCCGTTGGGGCCAAAAAGGGAGGGAGGAGCCGGGCCGGGAGGGCTCTAGCCCCGTTTTCAGGCCAGCTCCTTGTTAGCACAGGGGCCGCGGGACACCCTGGGGATGCGGCGTGCCCGGAGCTGAGCCAGGTGCCCAGCACCATCTGCGCTGGGACTGCTCGTTCCCCACGAGGTGCTGCCTGCCCCAGACGGGCAGAGAGGCAGCCTCAACCCCAAACTTTGCAGCTCCAAAACTGCCACGAAGCACACAGGGACTGTCATTTCCCAAATCCTCTGGTTTGCATTAGATTTTTCTACCCAAGTTCCACTGTACCAGTCCCCGAGCGCCCTGGCAGTGCCACTCTCCCCAGGAGCGCGTGCTGGTCCTGCTGCTCCTCACCAGGGTCGCAGGTAAGATTTTCAAATGATTTAAAATATTGCAAGTGGCATGTCTGGGCTAGTGGCAGGGAAAACCATCGAAGCCTCACTGGAAGGTTCCCCTGTCACATCTTGCTCACTTCAGTCTCTCTTTGAACAACAAGACGCACTCCAAGGTTCAGTTTAGTCCACACCCGGTACCCAGCTGCTTTCAGAGCGTTGATGCTGCAAGCTCCGGGTGGCCAAGGCTTTGGTGCTCCACGCCACACCGTGGAGCCGGAGGGGACTGGAAGGGGCAGTGAGGCTCACCTGTGTGCCAGCGGTCTGCTGGGGCAGGATGCGGAGGAAATCCTCGGGGAGGTTGCCCAGGAGCGGCGGGTTCCAGTTCCTGTAGCGCCCGGGCGCTGGGGTGCCGCCGGGCCCCGGCACGTCGGTCCTGCGGGGCAAGCACAGACGGTTCCTTGGGCGAGGGAGGAACCCACCGACGGCTGCAGCAGCGGCGGGACACAGGGCCTGGCACAGCAACCCCCTGCCCGGCGGGCCTGGGAACCCAGAAACCACCGCACGCCTCCCAAACCCACGGCGTTGGCATTAGCTCCGGAGGCTGAACGGCTTTCCTGGCCAGTTTGAAATCTTTGGGAGCTGCGTTTCAAGCCTTAACCTGCAACTGCGCGGCCTGGATTTCCCTTCTCCTCCCCGTTTTGCTCAGACACCCAGAAAACAGCCCCGTGGGAGCCGGAGCACGGCAGGATTGTGCTCACGGAGCTGCTGGAGGTCTCTCACCAGATGTCACACCCAGCCGGCGGCGCCTGCGTCCGAGGGGGCTGGCACAGAGGCAGCCAGGGCCACTTGCCTTCCCCCAAACCCCGAGCTCCCAGCCGAGGTGGTGCTGCTGGGGGGAAAGCCCACACCCCACGGAGCCGGAGACCCCCGGGGCTCGGCGGCCCGGCAGCAGCAAGTCGAACCGAGCCGTGGTCCCCGGTGCCGAGAGCTGCGGGGAGCCGGCCGCCCAGCACCTGGTGTTTTCGAGCGGGGGCGAGCGCTCCCCGCCCCCCCCGGGGGGGTAGCTGATTTTTGCCATTCCACGCTCTGCCGGAGCAGCTTTCCAGCCCCTTCAGCTGTTCGTTTTTGCAGGGCCTCGCAGGGATTTTTGAGCCAGCTGTGAGCTTCATTCATCCCCCCCCCCCCCCCCGCCTTGGCTTCGTCGCACCCGACCCTAACGAACTGATGCCAGGTGCCCCTCGCCAGGCCCAGCTACGGCGCAGCAAGACCCCCCCCCCCCAGCTGCCTGCAGGGGCGCTTTGCCGGCCACCACGAGCGGCAAGCGGGGTGCAGCCGTGGCACGGGGTTGGGGTTGGGGGGCTCACCTGGGTGGCGGGGTGGGCGGCGCGCGGGGGTACCGGCTGCCAAACTCCTGGCTCTCGTAGGCGGGAGGGGAGTAGACGGGAGGGGGCTCCTCATCCGAGCTGTCGGGCTCCAGGGTCCGCTCTAAGATCTGCCGGGCGAGAGGACGGGGTGAGGGTGAGTGGGGGAAACGCTCCCCGCCTGCAGGCGGGACGGGACGGGCTGAACGCAGCTGCAAAAAAGGATGGGGAGGGGGCACCCTCCCGGCACCTGGGGGGGGCTTTTGGCGGGGTTTGGGGGTGCTGTGTTGAAGGCACTGCATTTTGGGCGGGTGGGTAAGCCTGTCCCTGGGTGCACACAGCCCTCGGGGATCCTTGGACAGCGGCAGAAGGGTCTCAGTTGGGTTTTGGGGAGGGAGGGAGGGAGGAAAGTGGTTTGGCTTGAGCCTCACGCAGCATCCAGGGCGAAGCAGCCGGGCTGCACGCTCCAGCTCAGCCGAATCGGGCACTCGAATCTCTGCCCGTCTGCAGCAGCCGAGTAGCACCATGCCCGGGCAGAAATGAGGCAGGATGAGACCGAGCTGCCCGCTCGCCATGTGCCAGCCGCGGCGGCCAGGAGGGCAGGCAGGGGACCCCCCCTTTCCATAGCCACGTGCCGGGGACCACCGGCGGGGGCTACCTCGGGGGGGATGCTGTCCTCCGAGTCCGAGCTGTCATCGCAGCCGCTGCTGTCCAGGTTCATCTGCAGGAGCTGGTCGATGGTGGCGTCCACAGCGCCGTTGTTGGCCCTCAAGACGCACTCGATGATGTCGTAGTCCATGTTGGGGAACATGGTCTTGAAGTCCTCCATGGCCTGGTTGAATTCCAGCCGGCGGACCTGCCTGGCGGGGCGGCTGTTGTTGAGCTCCTGGGCGGAGGAGCCGCCGCGCGAGCTGCCGTTGCTGCTGCTCCGACGGAAGAGGCTCGTCATGGCGGGGCGGCTGGGCAGGGGGGGGGCCGCGGTCCCGGCTGCGGCGAGGCGGGTGCCAGTCGCCCACTGGTCACGGGGCACTGCCCCCACAGCCGGCGGGGAGCATGGGCGGGCGCCGGTGGGAAGTTGGGGGGCGGCGGGAGGGGGGGGGGTTGTCCCGCTCACCGCGCGTCAGCCCCCAGCGCGCTGCAGCATCCTCCCACCTGCGGAGGGGAGAAGGGGAGAAAGTCACTCACGGGACGGAGCACCCAGAGACACCCCCCTGAGATTTCCCCCCCCCCGCCGCCCCGTCTTCACTGGGGGGACACACACACACACGCGGTTCCAGTCGACCCATCCCACCGCGTCCCCCCAAGGGACCAGCCCGGCCCCGCAGCGCAGATGCGCTGGGCCAAGTGCCGTCCGAACGAAATGCAAGGTAAGAAAAACGGCACTACTTCCACTGCTGAGGGCTCCCCAGATTTAACATTTCCAGGTTTGACGTGCATTTATAAACACGGCAAAATCTCTCTTTAAAATAAAAAATGCGGTCGGCTCAGAGAGTTTCAGAGCAGGGGGCTAAAATGCTCTGCAGCACGGCAAATCGACCCTTGGGAAAAGCCACCAAATCCAAGATTAACATTCACTTTAAAACCATAAACAGATTATACAGCTACTGCTTCTCATTTGGAAATGCAGGGAGGGCCAAATTCAGTTCTGGATTAACTCCGCTGGTGAAACGGAATTACCCCAGGAACACTTCTGATCCATAATATCATTTTCAAAGGCTTTTTCCTAAGCGGCAGGCGGAGAGTTCAAGATAACTGTCCCCAAAGTGGTATTTAAGTCAAAAGAACGTGCCAAGCACATTTCTTAGCGAAACGGGGTATAATCAGATTCAAAGCCATTAAGCGGAGCCGTCACCTCTGAAGGTCACCCGGGCTCTCCCCTGCCCGTGGCGAGGCCGTGCACGACAGCCACGTCCCCCCCGCTCGCCCGGCCTCGGCTCCAAGGGGCTTCCAGAGGCTGCCGAGAGCGAAACCCGCTTCCAACACCTGGGAAACTTGGCACGAACTCTGGGAGAAGGTTTATTTTGGCGATGCTGGTTAATTCCTGTCGTTGTCCCCAGGGACAGCCCTGCTCTGGCTCAGTACCCAGAGGAATCGCTGACGTCTCCGGAGGCCGGGGGGATGATTCCTGCTCCGTGGGCACGCTCCGCTCTCCCTCCCTGGTTTGGTGGGTTTTGGTTTTGGGTTTTTTTTTTTTGTAATCCTGGATGCGTTTGCACTCAGATGTACCGAGCGTGCCACGAGCCAGCCTGAACACCAGCCCCGTGCGAACACCAGCCCAGGCCCCGCGCTTTGCCGAGCGTCCCGGGGCTGAGTCCAGTGCCACGGGGCTCTCCAAGCCGCTGTCACCTTCCCCGTGGCACCCGCCCCGCAGGACGGGACCCGTGGAAAAGCAGCAGGAGTTTCACCGCCGGGCACGAGGGGCCATTTCCAAACAGCAGCGGGAACCCCCAGTTTGCTCCGCGCTCCCTAACAAAAAGCATTTAAGAGATCGCTCGGCCAAGAACCGTCTCCGTCCCCGCAGCCGCTCTTGGTCCCCGGGATCGGCTGCTGCTCGCCAGGAGCCAGGCGCGGAGCAGCGTTGTGTGAGTGGAGCAGGAACAATTCCGACAGCCCTGCCCGGCTCTATTCACCGAGGACAAATAAATCTGCTGGAGTCAATTAACAAAATACTGCTTCTCAGTTCCTCCTCTGCCATCATGACTCATTCGGAGCAAAAAGCCAGCATTGTTCGCACCTCTGGTATTATACTTTAATTGCAATATTGCATGGCTGGTTTAGTCACATATTAAATTGAGTTATAACACATTCACAGGGTACACACACTCCTTCAAAGATCTGGCTGCTTCAAGAGGATGGGGAAAGAGCCTGGACATCAAGGGGAAAACAGGTTTCGTAGGATACACTGCAAACACACCCATGACCCTGTAAGGAGCTGAAAGAATTGATGCCTCCAACATTGCTCCTCACAGAAAAGCCTCAAGGACAAGTTGTGGCCTTTGTGATCAGCCTAAGGAAGCTGCCCGGGGTACTGAAGGGTGCACGGCTCCACTCCCTGCGGCTGTAGTGCCAAATTCCTCAGATAAGACTCGAAGGAAACTATATATTCAGGCCAAAAAGACTGATAAACTAAAGGCTGGACAATTACCCAAGAAGAAAAAAACTGAGGAAGAAGTAAAGGTGGTAGGAGGGCGCACAACCACCCCGTCTCTTGTGGAAAGGAGTTTGTGGAATACCTGCCTCTCTTGGTCTACTACGTTAATCAGCTGGTAAAGTGAACTTAAAAAGCGACAGAAAACTTTGCTGTGTGTGCACCCACCACCCAAGATCACCGGATCTGAGACAACGCTGGAACCTGGGGTGGTGACCAGACTCTTTTCCTCTACTTTCCTTTTCTTTCTTTTTTTTTTCTTCTCTTTTATATATTTACCAAGAAGAGACCACATTGCTTACGATCCTTTTCCAAGTTTAAGTTGTCTCTACCACAAGTGAAATATTTTAACTGGTCGTTTGGTGTCATTTCACTATAATTTAACCCGAGGGGATCACAGAACCTTTATGACTCCTTGGGCTCCCAGTTTGGGTTGTAACAGACTCAGGTATGAAGAAGAGAGCTTCTGCAGAGAGCCCTTAGCTCAGCAACGCCATGCTAGCCCATAAACCTCAAATAGTAAAATCAGCCCCCCAAATCAGGAAATGGGCTTGGAAAACCCCAGATCTATTTAAAAATTGTGAGGTTTATAAAGTAACAAGAAGCTCCTGTGGTTGGGGATCTTGCAGGAGTTGCTGCAAAGGGCACGCTGGGCAAAACCGAGGTGCAGCCGGTGCCCCCAGCACAAACCGGGGCGGCTCCGTGTGCCCGGCGGGCAAACACCGCTGCGGGCAGAGCCGGCGGCGGCCAAACACGGCAAATTTTAAACCCAGCTTTGAAAGTCCTGCTGCTCGTCCGGAGAAACGCAAACCACTACGCTGACATGAGGTAAAAACCTGAGAAACGCAAGTCAGCGCGTCTGCGGGAGTTGATTTAAAAGATAAACCGGTATTTGTCTTTGCGGGATCCTCCCCCAATTCCTGCTCGTCTGCATCAGCGTCTGCAGGTGAGCAGTGGGGAGGGCAGCGGGACCCCCAGATGCCAGCGCGGGGCAAGGGGGCTCAGCACGTTTCTGGCCCTTATTTCCACGATGTCAGCGAGGGGCTGGGAAGACGCCAGGAAAAGCAAAATCCTTTGGATTTCCCAAAAAGGAAAGCGGCAAGCTGGTGCCCGACTGCCAGCCCAGGGGCGAGCACGGGCGCGCTGGGGGCACGGCGGGGTGCAGCCTGGGCTTCCCTCCGCCTCGTGCCCCCCATTTGCAGAACCAGGCTGCGATGACTCATTTGGCTGTTGCCCGATCAACTTTCTTTCCTGCCTTAAAATAGCTCTTGCTCTGCCACCCCGCACAAAGGACCCTGAATGCCGTTATTCATTCATCCCAACCCGGGCACAGGCGTAATCCTTTGCCCTTCTGCTGCGCCCATCACAGGAGGAGCTTAAAGGCTTTGCAAGGTCTGGGTGCGCATGTCCCCGTCCCGCGGGTCACGGGGAGCAGCGAGGTGGCAGCGGGGACCATGGTGGGGCTGGCACTGCCCCCGTGCCCCCCACCAGCCTGGGGTAAAACCTCCCGTCCCAGCGGTGCAGGGTCCCGGCTCGCCCCGGGGACACGGCGGAAGATCCTGGCAGAGCCACCTGCCCACCCGGCAGCCGTGGCTGTCCCGGCACCGCGGAGAAAGTCCCGGGTGATGTCCCAACGCCGGGCTGGGGACCAGCCAGCACCGGCCCTTCAGCACCAAACCCGCAGGGCGGGCTCCCCCGCTGCCACTTCCACGGCAGCTTTCAACCGAGCGGCTCCGCGCTCCGGGACGGGGGGCTTAGCACCGCAAATGCCCACGCAGGTTTTGCCGTCACCTTTGGGTCCAGCTCCTGCCCCGAGCTCACCGCTTAAAAAACATAAAATAAGACCAAACAAAAGCTGACCTTTGCGGGGGGGCTGGGGGGGAGCGAGCCCGTGGATGCACCCTGCCTTTTCCCCCACCCGCGCCGCTAACGGCTTGCACAATTCAGATCCGCCCTCACCTGAGCCAGAGCCAAGAACAAGACCTTGGCAGTCGTGGAGAAACCCTTAATTACGCTCATTGGGAGCAGATAAGGCGTGCACAGCCTGGGGGAGCACATCCTCCTGTGCCGGCCGGCATCCCGCCTCTACAAAGCTGATTTTCAGCCAGCCCTGGGCCCTCGATACCTCGCAGAAATGGACTTTTCACATCGAGGGACGGCCCGAGAGGCTGCCGGTGCTTTGGGTCAGCTCCAGCCAGGAGCAAGCAGAGCGCGAGGCGCGGAGGAGGCTGCCTGCAGCTCGGCCGTCAGCCATCCCGGCACGGCGCGGACGAGCAGCTGGATAATCCCGAGGGTCGGTCAAACTGGTCATGTCATGCTGGAAACAACAGTTGCTCGGCTCTGCGAGGAAGGCAGCTCGCCCGGAGGGGAGAACAGCTGTAAAAGCGCTAGGACTGATCGCTCGCAGCCCTCGCAGCTCGGGGAAGAGCCTTGGCACCAAGCGCAAACGCGAATGTTCCCTTCCCCAGTGTCTGCCGCGGCTCAGACAACAGATGGGATTGCTCAAACACTGCTAAACCAGCCCAGCCCTTTTTCCCCCGCTATTGCCATGCTGCAACTGTAGATCCTCCCCGCAAGCACGCCGGAGCTGTGACACCCCCCCCCCTCCCCGTTTGCAGCCAGGAGAGGGGGTGACACCATCGAGTGCTCGTCCCCCCCCAGCCCAGCGCTCGGCCGAGGGCACCCATCGCTCGCCGGTGGCCGCAAGCCCAGACCTGTAATGACTCGGCTGGGGGATGTGGAGCAGAAACACAGGAGGCATTTCCACGCACGGGATTATCCAGAGACAAGGGCTGCCAGTGCCCCAGCTTCTGGATGGGAAGTCTCGGAGGAAGTCTCGAAACTAGGGAGGTTAAACCCGAAATAACAGCTTCACCCAGAGCAGATTTGCTGAGCTCTGTCTGCAGTGAGTCCCCTGTAAAAGGATTGCTCTACACACCAGAAGTCCAGGAACGTGACTGCTCGGCGGCTGCAGGTGTGACTATAAGAGGATTGAAATTTTGAT